AGGATTCAAGTCAACCCTCCTCGTTCATTAGCAAATGCCACCCCAGCATTGGGTCCTGAAGCGGTAGTGATTTCGGTTGATCGTTTGCGAGACGGTGAAGCGCCGAGAGCCACATATGCTTATCGAAAACAACTACTTCTGGGAGCTAGTGAGCAAGAGAAGACAGAAACTGCTGGACAACTTCTATGTCTTCGAATCGAGAGTGGGAAGGCTATTGTCCATGTGAGCATTGAGCGGACCGACACCAGAGAGAGAAACGGTCGGATCGATCGGTTTTGCCTTTCCCACATTTGTGAAGTGGAGTGAACGAGTAGCTCAGTGGATGAAAGCCGAGCGAGTTGGGCTAGAAGATATAAACGCAAACGACGACGAGCTGGCATGATCGTTGTTTAAGCAAGACACAGTTCAAGAACGGTCGATTCCACGTGAGCCTAATGTTGAAAGATCAAGATGCACCCGTTAATCTTTAATTTTTAATGGTGCAGCCGACCGATTGAGCGGTTCCGAGGATCTCCTTCACCGTTCCCCCCAACTTCTTTGCCATTGAACGACTGCGCATGGTCCTCGCGATTTTGATGATGGTGTCGATGGTGAGATCGCCGTTGTGCTTGATTTTTTTTAGAAGGCCAAATCGATTCAGCATAGTCAAAAAACCATGTGTGCAAGTTTTCGTGGAAAAATCTTGGTTTTGGGTCAAGTTTCAGTTTCATATATTAACAATGTAAAAGATGCAACCCTTCTAGCGAGCTAATCTATCAGTTACGCGACCTATGCTATGACAAACATCAAAGTTTGAAGACAAAAGAACTCACCAATCCAAGGGGCCCAACTTTGGGTGCGAGAGCTGATGTGGCTCCGACTTCCCCGCCCACACAACGCAAGTAGACGATCTTGATCTCAGTTGGATCGAACTTGGGTGGCATTCTTCCGTTTGATTTCGCCTACCAACCGTGAAGGAGGATGACTAAAATCAACAGATTAGAAAGATAAAACAAGTTCATGAAAAACAAACAAGACCAAAGAAGGAAAGCAAACTAAAGGTTTCGGAGATGTAAATCAATTGACGTATCAAGCGCTGTAACTGAACGTTTTTAAAAGGAAATGACGAAAAATTTCAAATTTTGAAAACCTTGCACGGCTACCGACTACATGGAAAGTAAGAGAATGGCCAGCAAGTCCTGCTATAAAGTCGGAAGAGAGCGGGCTGGAGGTGAGAAAAAAGAAAATTTCGCCTGCAAACGTGCATTTATCTACAGTCAGCAAAAAGTCTTGCACCATTGTCTCCCAAAGGCTTAAAACAAACAATTTTTTGCAAAAATAAGCGTTTCAGAGAAAACTTGTTGGCAACTAATTCTACCATTGTGGTCTAGTTTCCGAATATATTATTCATTTTTCTTGCAAGTTATTTCTTTTGACGTAAAAAATAAGTTTTATTAGAGACACCCGGTTTAGAGCGCAAAAAAATCGTTGTATTCTTTTGTAAATCTTTCTTTTGTTTCCTGACTTTGTTTTTGTGCATTAATTTATTTTTTTAGATGCCCTGCGAGCGATATCTGGACACTCCGACTAAGGAAAACATTGTCAAAGCCCGTCAAGGAGGGATGAAAGTGACGGCCATTTGTGACCTCTTTACCGTTGATAGCTCTACCGTCTCCAGGCTTTGTAAACGACAAAAACTAGAGGGAAATGACATTCAAAAAGTGATCGACCACCTAAAACAATAATCAGACAGGACCGTTCATTCATCGGGATGTTCTTAAAGGATCCAAACAGGACGAGTACCGACGGTGCCAAGTTGCTTCAATCTCGCTTGGGGCTTGAAGTAACCGCTCAAACAATTCGAAACCGGCTCAAATCGGTTTGATTTTTTGCTCGACGACCAGCACGAAAGCCTCTAATGGTTTTGAGACATCGGCGATTGAGATTGGCCTTCGCAAAGACGTACAAAGATTGGACGGTCGACGTTTGGAAGAAGGTACTATGGAGTGACGAGACGAAGATCAATATATTCAATCCAGATGGTGGTCAAATGATTCGTCGGCCTGTTGGAACACGCTATAAACTAAGCGAAGTATATGCGTTCTACAGTCAAATTCAATGGTGGAGGAATCATGGTTTGGGGTTAGTAAATGTTTTTTATATTGTGCCTAAGTCTGTCTATATTTAGGTTGCATGTCATCGTCCGACGTTGGTCCGCTAGTCTTGATTGACGGAATTATGGATGCTCACAAGTGCAAGGACATATTGGAGACACATATGCTACCTCATGCACAAGCGAAAATGGGACAGGGGTGGCTATTCATGCAAGATGGAGACCCGAAACACACAAGTCAGCTTATGATGGGACGTCGATTGAAGATTCGAAGGGGGTTTTTTGTGAGGATGCCCGGCTGCTTTCAACAAAATGGAGTGGAATTGCTTCGAACACCACCTTTCAACCCCGACATCAACCCGATTGGACATTTGTGGTCGATCGTTAAACGGAAACTCAAAGGACAAAAATTTCGAAACAAGGCTGAACTATGGGGCCATGTGGAACAAGTATGGAAGACGATCTCTCAACATTTGTTGCATAAATTGGTCTCATCGATGCCCAGAAGACTACAAAAGATCATTCAAACAAAAGGAGCTGTTACAAAATATTAAACTTATTGAATTTGTTTGATGGTGCAAGACTTTTTTGCTTCCTTTTTTGTTGGTCGTTAACTCTTTTGTTATTTTTTCTATTTTACCGTTATGAATAAATTTTTCACTTGTTCATTCGGAAACTAGACCACAATGGTAGGATTGGTGACCAACAAGTTTTCTCTGAAACGCTTATTTTTGCGAAAAATCTTTTGTTTTAAGTCTTTGGGAGACAATGGTGCAAGAATCTTTTGGTGACTGTATACATTGCATGAAAATATTCAGTTAGGTAACTTAGTTTCATCAAACGAAGGAAACATTAAGTAGTGCATTTTAGCATTACAAAGTGCACTATAAAAGGTGGAGTTGTTGAATGACGAGTGGCTCATTTTCTTTACCCGAAATAAAAGCGTGAGTTGGCAATAACTTCATTTTTGTTGGTCAAAAAGTAGCCTGATGCGGGAGTGGGACAAATGCGACCTTTTTTTCACCTGGGACTTTAACTTTAACAAATGCACCCGGGACATTTGCGCACCCGGTTCATTAGCGCACCTTTTTTCACGTTTTAAAAAAGCTCCAAAAGGCTAGTATTAACCAATTTCTTTTCCAAAAGTGATTTTCCTGGGTAATTTTAGCGCATAGAATCCAAATTTTGAAATATCAGAGTTTGTGAAACCAATCTGAAAGACGGGCAGGTCAAATTACAGAAAATTGTCGTTTTTCCCTATGTATCCCTCCGTCCTTTGCTTCCACAAGCTCTGTTATGTCATTATTTGGATTCTATGCCCTAAAATTACCCAGGAAAATAACTTTTGGAATAGAAATTGTTTAATATTAGCTTTCTTAAAATGCAAAAAAAGTTCTAGCTGTGCTAAAAAAGCGCGGAAATGTCCCGGGTGCGGAAAGAAAAGGTGAAACGAAACAACAAAACACACCAAGAACAAGCGCAAAAATAAAAAGAAAAACATTCGAAAATTTAATCCTGGAAACAGGCATTTCGGAAATTCGTGGCTGAAAGAGAAAAGCCCTTTAAAAGGGCTGCCACAAACTTTTTTTTCGAGAATTTTTTCATTTCGTTTGTGCGCTTTCACTTTTCGTATTTTTTAAAGTCCGCTTATTTTATATATATATATGATGTGTTTTATTGTTTAGTTTTATCTTTGTATTCCTTGATATAATCTATCATCTTTAGAATGGACTTGCAAACTTTGGTCAACATCAACAACAATGTTGTCGAGGACCACAAGAAGACGGAAGAGTTAGTCGAGCAGAAAGACGAAGCACAGCCACGGTGAGTTTTGTTTTGTTGATTTGATATATTTGTGGTTTCTTTGAATTTCTTTCGATTCTTTCGATTTGCTCATTTTTGTGTTCACATCTTGCTTGAGTGGCATTTTCCCACGAGCTTCCCTGCAAGACGAACCCAATCCTAGGAAAAAAAAAATGTTAAAGCCTAGCTTAAAATGGTATCGATTCGGTCTTCTATTGATCTGGAGATCTAGAAGAGAACAGAAGGCCGAAGCAATTCAGCATAATCAAAAACAGCTGTGTGCAAGTTTTCGTGGAAAAATATTCGTTCTGGATCAAGTTTCAGACTGCCCCTTCCCCCCAGCTACTCGAGCGTCTTTTTTATAAACTAAATTAATATTTTTTATTTTAGTCGCCAAAGAAAGTCGGAGACGACATTGCGAAGGCAACGCAAGACTGGAAGGGGTTGAAGGTCACCTGCAAGCTCACCATCCAAAACAGAAACGCCATGATCGATGTGGTGCCATCGGCTGCGTCTCTAATCATCAAGGAACTCAAGGAGTCACCTCGCGACAGAAAGAAGATCGCAAAAAAATCAAGCACAACGGCGATCCCACCATCGACAACATCATCAAAATCGCGAGGACCATACGCAGTCGTTCAATGGCAAAGAAGTTGGAGGGAACGGTGAAGGAGATCCTCAGAACCGCTCAATCGGTCGGCTGCACCATTGATGGACAACACCCACACGACGTCATCGACTCCATCAACAATGGTGACATCGAGATCCCAGCTGTATAGATTCAATTTTTATGTTGTCTTGGTTTCGTTGATCGTTTTTGTTTTTCATTGACCTGTTATTATGTTTTTCCTTTGGTTTTCGTCTTAACTTTCATTCTTTAGTCGCGAAGTAATGACACCTCAATTGCGTTTCTCGAAGGATTTTGATTCTTTCACGGTGGAAACGGATCATTTGGACGTGGTCTATGGCAAAAAGACTTTTCGCCTTGCTTACCCGATCAACGGCGAAAGGAAATTCTCAGTCGGAGCTTTGCGCAACACGAAGCTCTTCTTACCGGAAATGTTGCTGGAGGTCTCTTTTTATTTCATTATTTCATAATTCAATTTCTATATAGAGTAGATTTATTTGATACTTGGATATAATATCATATGAGAGTAATTATGCTTAAGCTGCAAATCTTTTTCATGACCTAGGTTAAATAAAAATATTTGGGATCTAATCTCATTATAAACTTTTAGTGCTACAATCAAGCTGTTCCGCATGGAATACTTGTAAATGTCGAGGCTGGATTTGAAGATGTGCTAACGTTGGGTAGATTTGTCGAGAAACTTCCAAGTGTTGTTGGCTACCAGCAGGTTCAGTTTTAAATTTTTTTACGAGTGAAAGTTCTTAGCTTATGCTTATTTAATTCGTTGAGTTGAGATTTTTAAGTATGGATATTTACGAGGTTACGAAAATTCAAGAAATCAATTTTAGGTACGTTTTGACGATGACAATTTATCGGCATTTATGCCTCATGTGGTTCGGAATACGAGGATGAAATTGACGAGGGAACCGATGACGCAACATGGATCCAAACCTGTTATTCTTATTTCAGATTATCCATTCGAAAAAATTAGTCCCCGTTTTGCTAGTTTCAAATATTTTCTTGTGTCATCTTTATCTAACAGTAATTTGGTCTTTTACAGCTATTTGGTATTCTTCAGATTTAATAATTTGGGCTTTTTTTCAGATTAAATCAATCTGAAGATCTTTGTTGGCAATCTGAAGCAAAAAAAGGCCATTTTATAGATCTCCTTTTTTATCATTATTATTATATTGTCATTAGCTGATTGAAACGAAGCATTCCGACAACCTATAAAGTACACGTTTTTTATTTCTTCCTTTAGATGAATCGGGATCGTCCAATCTTGATGTTTGTCGAAGACACGAACCACCCTCTCACCTTTTTCTTCCCTGGCGACGGTGCCGCATATTTCGAGATCACCCATACGCCAAGCGACACCCAGTATCGATTTGCCTATATTGCGGGTGTGAATCGCATGTATGAAGCACATCCGGAAGACTTCGACCGCCCAGGAAAGAACAGATACACCTATCTCATGCATAATGTAAGTTGCAGGTCAGGGTTTTCTTCTGATTGTAGTTTTTCTTTAGAATTGAGGAGATCTGATGTTTAAAATTATAGCTTATGATTGTTATACTTTAGAGCCCGCCCAACCCAAACGATGTTCCACGTGTGTTTGAGCTGCGAAGACGCGTGGTGGTTTCTGGCCCGTTTGTGAATCTCGCCGAGGTCGATGTGTTCGTGGATTTGGGCGCACAGCTCATCATTCTTCAGAAAATACTATCTCAAAAAATAAGTGGCCGGTGTTATAAATTAACGTATTTCAATCAATGTTTGTCTTTCCAAATCAGTTCTAAACTGTTCACCTGAATAAAAGTTTATTTGTTATCTAGGTCGTCAAAGAATTGAATGAGTTATGAATTTTTTTCCAAACGGTTTCCAAACAAAAATACTAAATAAAGTCCTAAAGTAAGCGTGTGAAGCTTGGTGTTAGAATATCGGTGGAGGTATCTGTGGAGTTGTGGAGACAGTGAAAAGAGCGGCGCATTCATGCAGTCAATCGATTTTGGGCATTCTCGTGGAAAGAACAACAACATCCACTGTGATCCGTATTGCGAGTAATAATGCCTGTAAGTTAGTTTGTACGACGAACTCTTATCTTTGTATACGCCTACTCTTTGTTATACTTTTGGTAGCATTTTTGACTTGGGGTTGATCGTTTTATAGTTTGTAGCCCATTCTTCGGAGAAATGTTTGACCGGCAATTAGACTATTCAGATTGCATGTTATGATGTTACGCCACAAAGCTCTTTTCCATTTTTCCATGACTCCCCAGACAAAACATCTAAACAAAGAACATAGTCCTATTTTGATACAAAAAAACTTTACAAACGTTCGCTTTAAACTGTGCTCTCAATGATCTTGGGGTCATCGAAAGTGGGGAAACTCTTCGATTTTGGTTGCGCCGACCAGTTGCTTTGCACTTTTTCCGAGGTTTGCAGCACTAGAATCACCCTAAACATGCATTATAGATGATGTGTATTATAGATTCTTTTATTTTAGATTTAAAATACCTGAAATAATAACGGGGTAAATGCTTTACTTTGCTGTAATGCAAAAAAAACGGAATGGGCGGAGTCTCAAAATTCTGAAACTTTTTTACCCATTTCCCTGGGTCTCCATTCCTCAGCACTTCATTCGTCGGGAAAAGGCGCTCGGAGAATTTACGTGAAAGAGTGTGATCTCAGAAGTGTGAAAAAGTGAAAAAAGAAGAGAATTGACCTCGAGAGAATCGAGAATGAAAAAAGAATCACTGATTCATCTTTTTGGATCCTTCGTTTCCCGCTTTTCCTCTTTTGTCAAAGACAAAGCACATCCAGACATCAGAGGTGTTCTTTGTGTGCGTAATCGCTCGCGACCCAGTAAACCCGTCCGGTATCAGGTGCTTCCCTTTTGGAATCTCTGAAGGGGAAAGAGTGGTGAGCAACTTAGCCTTCCCGTTTCTTGGGTTTCATGTCTCTTCCCTGAACCTCTTCCTTTCTGGCAGAAAGAAAGAAGAGCTTTTATAAAAGCTAGTATTTCTCAACATTTCTACTCACTCTGTATATTCTGAGGCTAATTGCTCAAATATTTATTCATCAACGAAAATGGAGTGATAAAACAAAAAGCAAAACAAATTTATAACCTTAATTTGTTATTTACTTACAAATAAACTTAAAATTAAGCGTTTAAACAAAGCAGAAACACGAAGTCTTTACAATTTCTTTCAAGAGATTTTAGCATAATCATTCATTTTCCATCGATCGGTCTCCGATTTCGCGAGAAATTTTTGGCGATTGTCTTGGAAATATCTCCCACTGATCTATTCTTTTGTCGTTTCCAGAGCCACAAGAACGCACAAATAGCAACTAGAGAGACAAGAAAAAACGAGACGACAAGGACCATCAGAAAAGTTCGGCATTGCGGAACAGTTCCATCCTAAAACGATGGATTTGATTAGAAGAATTTTAGAGTCAAATCCCTTTTGCCAATCCAATGGATAAAGCGCTGGTTGTACTTTGAGAACCCATCTTGTCGCCTTGCGCGCGCCTCTCTCGTCAAACACAACCAAGCGGTAGCTGGAGATTTTCAATCAGCTGGTCTCAATTTCTTTCCGACTCACTGTCCAGAATCGATTAGTTTGGCTTTTGGAATGACGAGCGACTCCACGAACGTCCAATTGTTCACAATTTCCTTGGTAATCTAATTTTATGCGCCGATGATTGGTTAGTAAAACTATAGGTACCTCTGCGTTTTCATCGTTGAAAATTTGTTTGTAGAATACTTTCTCGTCCGACGACCCAATCGGAGCCTGGAACATTTTTGAGTGAGTGAGTAAAGCTGGCTTTTCTGATGAGTTGATTCTAGAGAAAAAAAAGCCGATTTGTGAAGCTTTTTAGCGTTTCAGCAAAACTTGAGAGTCTTGCCTATGCATTTAAATTCCTTTGATGTGTGATTTGTTTGAATAAGTTTCCACAAGGACCCTTCTAACTATTGCAAGCCATTTTAGACAACTCACGCGGGACCATAACGAGCGATACGTTTCAAGAGCATTTTGTGTGTTGTGAACCGTCACCGTCACTGTAAAACCTCGAAATTCAACGTCAAGAACAGATCTCACCTCGAAATTCAACGCGTTCTCCCTCGGTAATGGCAATTTGGAGTCTGTGAGCTGCGAAATAAACAAATTAAGGATTATTTTCCTGGTAGTACAACTCACTTATTTTAATTTGTGGCTTATCTCTATACACGAGCTGATAAGCACTTTGGCCGTTGATCTCCCATTGACCGTTTATGTCCTCGTGCCTAAATTTTTGTAGAACTTTATCTTGGACTGATGATGGATAATTCTCTGCAACTGTCAGCTGTGATCTTTCCAAAACTGCTCATGAGCTCTCACCATGTGCATTCGTACTCTCCCGCGTCTTCTGCAGTCACATTCGGGAGCACTAACGAAAGCACAAATGAGCCGTCTTCTCGTTTCATCAAAGGTCGAACGTTTGCCTTTAAAGAAGCCACTTACTACAAATTTCGGAAATCATTTTGGGCAAAACGGATTCACGCTTCAACAAGACCGGGCACGGGCCCATGGAGCTCAACCAACTCTTCAACTTTGCAACCAGTTCTTTCCAGGCTACTGGGGTAAAGACATTTGACCCTCGAACAGCCCCGATCTGAATCCAGGGTTGAAACGAGCCTGGGAGTGTATCACCGTTCAACAATGTGCGACCATAATTAAGAATAGAGTGTGTTCCTCTCAAGAAATAGTGTGAAATAGGAAACGGGTTAGGTCGAAATCAACTGAATATCTTGAAGATTTTCGATAACTTGTGATACATTCAGTTGATTTTAAATGCTCGTTTCTATTTTGCACTGTTTCTTGAGAGGGAAACTCTCTAATTAAGAACTGCCAAAAGCGTCTAAAGAAATGCATTGAAGCTGATGGTGAAAATTTCGAACATTTGTCGCTAAGGTCCCAATAAAGTATTTTGTTAAGAAAAAAAGCTCTAAATACTTAAAGTCGGCACTTTTACGTATTTGCAAACCAATCCAGGAATCCAACTTTTGTGACACCCTTTATAGATGGGCAATCTTACATGTTCCGATCCACATCGAGGGCAACGTTTAAATTGAAGAGTGTTCTTTTGGGGATCGATGGCCGGTGAGAACTGGTTCACGTTCGACAAGACACAAGTTATCGTGTAGTTTTGATCGCCTGTTTGAATGATCAATTCTCAGCTTTCAGTTGTTAGAAGAGTACCTATTTGAGGCCATCCGTCTTCTGATGTTACATCGAGTTTCAACATCTGAACAATTCTTTTAAAACAGCTACATGGAATCAGAAATGACAGGCAAAATTTAAGGTAAACCTGAATTTGAAAGTCGATTTGCTCATTTTTGTGTTCACATCTTGCTTGAGTGGCACTTTCCCACGAGCTTCCCTGCAAAACGAACCCAATCCTAGGAGAACGAGAGTTGCTTTTATCAATAGACGCACAAAAACAAGTGCGTTATTCAGGATCATTTGTTTACCTTGGATCATAATATTTCTGAATATTCTCGACAATCAACTCGTTCACGTAGAGCCTCATTTCCTCTCCTGAACTTCAGTGAATACTGTATGAGTACAGGATTTACCTTTGATCCATCTAGACGCTCGACATGGAATCCTCAAATTATTTTTGAGTAGTTTAATTGGATCGGTGTTGGGACGTTCCACAAAAGCACTTTTTCCTAAAGTTTTTCTCAACAGTGTCCAACTCACTTAAGTTATGACGTCACTTACCTCGCACGAACATGTGAATGTGCGATCTCGTCATTGACATGTTACTCTCTTGGCACGAATACTTTCCCGTGTCAACCACATTTAGATCTCGAATGAACAACGACAAGGTCTTAAAGAAAAAAAAGGTTATTGCTTGAATTTGGAGCTACTTACCGTCACACTGTCGTTCACTTTGATTCGTCGTTGAAGTTTGTTTTTATCAAGGTCGAAGTCCCAACTACATGCATTATTTGTTAAAGCAAAGTTTATTTTTTGGGCGCTTAAGGATACTTTATGCTTTCGTAGCTACTTGAATTTTAATTCTACATAAATTATCAGGCTCTTATCTCATTTCCGCAGTTTCCATTGAGCATTCCGCTTTAAGGGTCACAAATTTCTTCAAATTCATATTTTCCTTTTGCTTTATATTCATCCTAATAGAAAAAGATTAAGTCTAGCAAAATGGATAGCAGAAAGAGCTTAAAAAGAATTATTGATGATAAAGTAATGTCTGTATGTCTTTCGGCAGAAAGACATCTGACATCTCATCAGAAATCGAATTTCCGAACTTTTCTCCTTTTTGGTGAAAAAGTGAAAGAAACCTCGAAAAAGATCTCTACTACACCAAATGGTGTAGAAGACGAGAAATCTTGAGCAAAGATCTCTTCTACACCAAATAAGATAAAGTTGCTCTAAGTTTTTGTAAAGCTGAATAGCTTTGAAAGTAGGTAGGTCATTTCTCCTATGTTATTCTAGGAGAAATCGAATTTCCGAACATTTCTTCTTTTTGGTGTAGAAGAGATCTTTGCTGAAGATTTCTCGTCTTCTACACCATTTGGTGTAGTGGAGATCTTTTTCGAGGTTTCTTTCACTTCTTCACCGCATACACTGTATCAGGATCATATTAAATAGGGATTCAATATGAGAAATCAACAAATTTTGCCTGAGCTCCTCAAATTTCACATGACTCAAATTCATTTGTTACCATTTTAAGACCTGAATTTTCTATATCTGGATAAATTTTGACTTACAGTAGAGACGCGTTTCCGTGACATAGAAGAGTCACATTTTGGCCGATTTCCTTTTCGATGTAACTAAATTGGATAAAAACTTGGGATATCTATCAGTTACCTTCCATTGAAGTCTTCTTCAATGATATGACCCTCTGCCGTGTCTATCCATGTAGAGCCTTTCTTCGAAATGAGGGAAAACAAAAGGATGGCGTAGGTGATGATGAACATTCTCGGCTTTCAAGAGGTGCCTGGCTTGTTTTGCTTTTTCTTTTGAACACGTTTATATATAGTGCTTAACTTTGAGCAACTTCTGCAAAAAAAAGAGCTTGAGTTGAGCAAGAGAACAATCCTCGTTTGGGTCCTTTTCGGTTTTTATTACTGAGCAAAACATTTTTTTGCTTTCTGGATTGCTCAAATAAATGAATCACTTGTGTTTTCATTAGGACCAATATCTAAAAGCCATCCAAGCATTCTTTCATTTTCCATATCACCTAAACTCGAAAAGGATTTGTTTTCTGTGCCTCCTCCTCAAGTAGGCCTTCAGCAGTGCTTGTCTTACGCAAACGATGCCAGGGTTGCTATCAAGAATTGAAGAAGACATGGGACAGCACCGAAGCGTGGACTCGCGCACGAAGAGTGAACACTCGATGCTCGAAATGCCATAAATATTTTTGAATATCTTGTTCTTGAACTAATCGAATCTTTTCACATTTTAAAATTATCTTAAAAAGTTGAAAAGTTATAGCGCGTCAAAAATTTCGTTCATCGGTGGACCGAATCGTCCCGAACGTGTTAAAACGTGGGAACTCTTGAAAAATATGGCAATCTTTCTCGAGATTTTACTGAATCTAGCGACTTTTGAACCTTCGTAGAATCAAGTCAAATATAAATAGCTCAACATTCATTCTTGATGTGCAAGTCAAAATCACTTTGGGCTTACACATCCAGAGATCAGAGGCGTTCTTTGTGCGCGTAATCGCTCGCGACCTGGTAAACCCGTCCGGGATCAGGTGCTTCCCTTTTGGAATCTGTAAAGGGGTAAGAGTGGTGAGCAACTTAGCCTTCCCGCTTCTTGGGCTTCACTATGCCCAAACCCTTGGGATCAATGTTTGTCTTCAATTTGGCTGTATTTTTTGTCGAATTCTGTATTCCGTTAAACCAATTTGTTACTTAAACAGCGATCTCATTTGAGAACCCTTTTTAGTCAAAGAACTAATCCATTTTGAAACATCAATATTCACAAATTCATTGAACTTTTGCCTCGTGTCGATGAGAAAGAAAAAAAGGTTTATAAATTATCAACAACATTTGAAAAGTTGGTGAAAGAAAAAGGGGAGGTGGTGATAGATGAGATATTGGTCCTAATGAAAACACAAGTGATTCATTTATTTGAGCAATCCAGAAAGCAAAAAAATGTTTTGCTCAGTAATAAAAACCGAAAAGGACCCAAACGAGGATTGTTCTCTTGCTCAACTCAAGCTCTTTTTTTTGCAGAAGTTGCTCAAAGTTAAGCACTATATATAAACGTGTTCAAAAGAAAAAGCAAAACAAGCCAGGCACCTCTTGAAAGCCGAGAATGTTCATCATCACCTACGCCATCCTTTTGTTTTCCCTCATTTCGAAGAAAGGCTCTACATGGATAGACACGGCAGAGGGTCATATCATTGAAGAAGACTTCAATGGAAGGTAACTGATAGATATCCCAAGCTTCTATCCAATTTAGTTACATCGAAAAGGAAGTCGGCCAAAATGTGACTCTTCTATGTCACGGAAACGCGTCTCTGCTGTAAGTCAAAATTCATCCAGATATAGAAAATTCAGGTCTTAAAATGGTAACAAATGAATTTGAGTCATGTGAAATTTGAAGAACTCAGACCGCTACAGACATTACTTTATCATCAATAATTCTTTTTAAGCTCTTTTTATCAATAATTATCAATAATTTCAATCAATCAATCAATCAATCATCAATAATTATCAATAATTTTTCTTAGTGAGCTCTTTCTGCTATTCATTTTGATAGACTTAAACTTTCTCTATTAGGATGAATATAAAGCATTCCGGAAATGAGATAAGGGCCTGATAATTTATAAAAAATAGATAGATAGAAGATAGAATCCGAGAGCTGTTTAGATTAGGTTGCGCTTATCAGTCCTCCAAATCTTTGCGGAAAATACTAGTGTTTTATTTGTTTCTGAAGTGTTTCATAAAACGTGCGCACTCTTGTGCAAGCCAAAATCATTTTGGGCTTGCACTTCCAGGCATCAGAGGTGTTCTGTGTGCACGT